CCTCTTCTGTTTGAGTATTTTTGGAAACTCATGAGTTTTCTAGCAAAGAAATGGGTGTGGCATTCAAAAGGAAGATCAAGAGTTCATTGGAGGGGTGCTACAATAGAAAGAACCTTAAATACTCAGTATGAAGCGCCTCTGACTCATTTCACTTGTTCATTCATTCTTACAAAATTTACAAAGTGTTTGCTAAGTACCAGGTAACTACTTGGTGCTAGAAAAATTGATAGTTGACACTACATTTGTTTTCCTTCCCTTTTGCTGATGATCTAATAGTATACACTGAAAATTCAGTAGGCTCTAGTAAAAACTCATAAGAATTAACACAGTTTTTGGAAGTGACTGGATTCAATAATAATTGAAAATGAATTTTTCCTCCTCTGCACTAATAATAACACCTAGGAATGGAAGTGGGAAAAGTATGTCACTCAAAGGAGTGACATAAAATTACAAAATAATTTTTTAATTTAAATTTTAATTAGTTAATATACAGTTCAGTCTTGGTTTCAGAAGTAGAATTCACTGATTCATCACTTATGTGCAACACCTAGTGCTTATCACAAGTGCCATCCTTAATAACCATCGCCCTTCTAGCCCACTCATCTTTGACAAAGCAGGAAAGAATATCCAATGAAAAAGACAGTCTCCTCAACAGATGGTATTGGGAAAACTGGACCTTGACATGCAGAAGCCTGAAATGGATCACTTTCTAACACCGCCCACACAAAAAAATTCAAAATGGATGAAAGATCCAAATGTGAGACAGGAAACCATCAAAATCCTAGAGGCGAACACAGGCGACAACCCCGTTGACCTTGGCCAGAGCAACTTCTTACTAGACATGTCACTGAAGGTAAGGGAAACAAAAGTAAACATGAACTACTGAGACTTCATCAAGACAAAAAGCTTTTGCACAGTGAAGGAAACGATCAACAAAACTAAAAGGCAGCCTATGGAATGGGAGAAGATATTTGCAAATGACATCTTGGATAAAGGGTTAGTATCCAAAATCTATAAAGAACATATCAAACTCAACACCCAAAAATCAAACAACCCAGTTAAGAAATGGGCAGAAGACATGAATAGACCCTTTTCCAAAGAAGACATCCAGATAATTAAAATTACAAAATATTAAAAAACATTACAAAATATTTAGAAGTAAGTTTGGCACAAAAGGTAAAGGACCCATATGAAGAAATATTAAATAAATCTGAACAAATACAAGTACCTACCGCATTCTTGAATGGGGACACATTATATCCTAAAATGTCAAATCACTCTGGTTTCTCTTCAGATCGAATACATCTTTCGCCTTTTACTAAAATGTCAAATCATCCCAAATGATTATATGAATTTAGTATAATTTCAGTGGACTCTCAAGCCATTTATAAGTGAACAAAAACATCTCAAGTTTCATATAGAAAAATAAATGCGCAAGAAAAAGTAAGAAAAGTATGAAAAAGAACAGCTAGGGGATACTTTTCTTACTAGATACCAGTATATTCAACAAAACCACTATATTAAAAACTAATTGGCAAAAAATAAATAAGCCAGTAAACTAGAACAGAGAATCAGGAATATATCCTGCATATATGAAAAATTACCATATGATAAAGGTGGTACTTCAGTAGGAAATTAATGATTCATTTAATAGATAGTGTTGATATAGCCACTTTCATTCTAGAAAAAAATAAAGTTGGACCCTATCACACAAAATAAGCAAATATAAATTCCAGATGGCCTGAAGGTTTCAATAGACAATAAAATAATCAACATTTTAGAAGGTAATCTAAGAGATTATATGCAACCAAGGAATAAAAGAGACCTTTAAAACCAATTCAAGAAACCCTGAGGCTATGATATATACCGTCATAGATGATTTAAACACGTAAAAACTACAACACAGGAGAAATACGGTAGATTTGGAAGGAATATTTGCCACAAGCATAGCAAACGGTTGCTCTTTATAATGTACAAGTAGGGTTGAGAATCACTGGGAAAAAAACAAATGACCTCCCCTCAACATTTGGTCAAGAATATGAATAGGCAACTCTCAGAAGAGCCAAATCTAAAAGCCTAGTTGATTAATCAATGAAAAAAATGCTTAAATTTACTAGTAGTCACAGAAAAGAAAATGAAGGTAACAGTAAGCATCATACACTCCAGTTAAAAAGAGCAATGGTATCTATTGCTGGAAAGTAGGCAGGGAGAAGGAGTTCTCAAACTCCTGGAAATGTGAATTGTTACAGGCTTTCTGGAAGCATCCTGGCAGCATCTATGAAATTAAAAAAAATATATATATATGTGTACTTTTTCAACCAACAGCCCAACTACTGGGAATCCTGTAGATCTAACAGCACCAAGAGATAGGTGAAATAATATTTAGTGCAGTATCATTCATACTGCTACAAACAGAAGAAAACAGAAAACAAACTGAATGGACATCAAAGGGGCAATGTTGAATTTATAATGATATATCTTCACTGTGAAATATTACATAACTATTAAATGTAATTGGAGCGGGGCGCCTGGGTGGCGCAGTCGGTTAAGCGTCCGACTTCAGCCAGGTCACGATCTCGCGGTCCGTGAGTTCGAGCCCCGCGTCGGGCTCTGGGCTGATGGCTCAGAGCCTGGAGCCTGTTTCTGATTCTGTGTCTCCCTCTCTCTCTGCCCCTCCCCCGTTCATGCTCTGTCTCTCTCTGTCCCAAAAATAAATACACGTTGAAAAAAAAAATTTAAATGTAATTGGAGCTACCCAGGCTGATTTGGGGAGGGATTGCTATGAAGTATGGAGTAGGAAGAACAAGATTCAGAGAGGATGACCTAATGTGGAAAATTCTGAGTGAGCAGTAGAGATGAGGACAGGAGGTGAGGGAAGAGAAGAGGCAGGCAAGGAAGGAGAATACAACACACTAAGATGATCCATGGTGTGTGTGTGTAGGTGTACGTGTAAGAGGAATCGGAAAAAAAGGTGAGTTTGATTTATATAAACTGACTTGTAGGTAGGCACTTTGGAACTTAAGACTTTGGAGATGGAGTAGGTTCCACAGCAAGACAAGGTACAAGATGTGGCCAAGGTGCAGGGGGACAGAGGGATGCAGAAGTGGAAGCCTGTGGACCCCAGGAGATGAAGGAAGGCGCTGAACTTCACCGTATGTGTGGATGTTAGAAGCTGCTTGGGTGGGAGCCTGATCTGAGCCAGCACTGAGGTTTTGAGTCAGAGGGCAGAGTTGGAGGGGCCTGAAGCTTATCCCATTCTTCAAGAGGATGGAAATCATGAATGCTAAATTAAGCATAAAAGAAAATTTATTTAGAATGAGAAAAGAATTGTAGCCAATTACAAATTTGAAAAAGCTGATAGCACAAATAGCAAAAATAGATTCTTTGACTTCATAATCTTTGCCTCTTCATATGACACCAGTTTTGTAATATCCTTTTCATAGAGGGGAAAGAAAGGTAGCTCATTTTTCTTAGTAACATGGGTGAGGTTAAAAAAATTATTGACAGATCAGAAAAATATTTTTTTTTCAGTGTCACAACTTACTAGGCTCGTATCACATAAACTTTTAGAATTGTTATCAAATTCAAAAAAACATCTATCAAGGAGAAAACTTGAGAAAACTTCTGTTTTGATGAGGTGTCAATGAAATCTGAGTCTGCTACTGATTTTTTTTTTTTAATGTTTATTTATTTTTGAGACCGAGGGACACAGGGTGCGAGTAGGGAAGGGGCAGAGAGAGAGGGAGACACAGAATCGGAAGCAGGCTCCAGGCTCTGAGCTGTCAGCACAGAGCCTGACGCAGGGCTCGAACCCATGAACCGCTAGATCATGACCTGAGCCGAAGTCGGACACCCAACTGACTGAGCCACCCAGGCGCCCCTGCTACTGATCTTTTAGTAGATCTGAAGATTAGAAGAATTTTTCATAGACTGGCTTTTCGTACTATTTATTTCAAACCGGGTTTCCTCTGGTCTACCCAGCACACTCCTGGTCCTGAAACACATGTTTACATATTCCCTGATAAGAAAGTCCCATGAAATGATGAATTGATGTTCCTGAAATACATGTCCATATTGAGGTGAAGTCTTTTGCCCTGTACCTCTATGTCGCTCCGAGGCCATCTGAGTACTCCTGGAAGCCATTACTCTACCAGGACACTAGCAATCACATAACCAACACAGGAATGGCTGAGAACTACCTAAATATATTTTACCCTTGTACTAAAATTACATGAAACATACCCTCAACTCAGCTTTCTCTTAGCTGGATTCCCCCATATGCTCATGACTTACCTAATGCCTTCCAATACGGAGGGGAAAATGGGAGTGAAGAGAGACAGCGATTGTAACCATTTTGGTTAAAATAGCTAGGTTTTACAAATTTTACAAAAAACCTCTGACCTAGAGCTTTGGAACTTAAGCTTCATTAGTTTACTATTATGTTATATTCCCTCTTTTATTGGAAACCTTCTTGGTATTCTACTAGATATTACATTAAAGTCACTGTAAGTCCGTGTGTGTGTGTGTGTGTGTGTGTGTGTGTGTGTGTGTGTTTATAGCATTTCTTATTTTCTTGCATTTTTTTTTTTTTTTTTTTTGGGTCACACTACAGCATAGGTCCATGTAACTCAGTCTTGCTTTTCTGGCTTCAAACCATTTTTTTAAACCCTGGAATCCCAATACAGGAACATTAAACACTATGACTGCAGTAATTTTAGAGTCAATGTCCTGAAAATGAGAAATTCAGATGAAATGATGTACTGCACAACATCGTTTCCAGCCCCCTGCACTACCACTGAAGCTTTGCATACATTTTCCTCCTTCATTTTCATACATATTATATTTACCATCAATCTTGTGGCAAGTTGCAGAACAGGGAGGTTGGGTGACATGGTTCTCTGATGGGGAGATCAATCCATAAATGGTCCTTTGCTGCTCAGGGTGAAAAAACTTGAGAACACAGCATTGCTACTCATGGTTCTTTCTTTTAACCCCACTAGGAACTTCAGTCCTGGTAACGGTAGCAAAACAGTCAGCCAAAGGTCTAAAGAGAAAAACTAATCAAGAGTAAAGAAGAGAAACCACAAGAAGTGATACTGCGTTCACTTGGGGATTATTTGTGATGAGATTGAATATAAATGTAAGAATCCCGGAAATGTCAAAAGAAGGCCTTGGATAAAGCACTCAAAGCCCTGTTTATCTGTGGGAAAAAGATTTGTATTTAGTAGTGGCCTAGTTTTTAATTTTTCCTGCTCCTCATAAGGTTTTTGTCCCCTGCACATAAGGGTTTAATGCAACTGGTTTTGAAATATTTCCCATTTTGAATTTGGAAGGCTTATACTTCAGACCCAGGCTTTTCCTCTCTGTTCTTCCTTTCCAAGAGATGTCATTGTACTTGTGCCCAAACACTGCACTATCCAGAAAAGAAGTGTGTGTCCACGTGTGCCTGTGTGTGTAAGACCACTCTTACCAAACTTTAGAATGCATTGCGCGCACGCACGTACACACACACACACACACACACACACACACACACACACACAGTTTTGACATTACTGGTTTAACCACACTGCAATTGCAATAATGAAAAGCAGAATGGGGCAGAAGCCCAGGGGCTCTGGGTGTGTTTTCCAGAATGGATTACACAAATTGGTGGGAGAGAAATAGCTTCATGTAAAGAGAGGTGTTTGGAAATCAGGGCATCGAGTGCTTTCTGGGAAGAAATGTAAACCAGATGGAGGAACCCCAAATTAAGGGTGATGATCAAAGGAAAGAAGTAGCTGTTTCTTAGAAGCAGTGGGGGGAACGGGTTAATTCTCTATTACCTGGTTGGTGAGATAATGGTGTGGGAGGAAGGGTGGTGCAGTGCAGACATCACTTTTGGGGCTGTGAGGTCCAAGTTAATTCACCTTTCCGGATGTGAGTGACCCCACCTTCTGGGCCAGTGCCACATGCTCAGTGGAAACCGTTGGCCACCACCTTTCCCTATTTCTTAACGCCGTCAGCCCTCCTAGCCTACCCAGCGTGCGGGCCCTGCTTGTGCCTGACTACACCATGCTTACTGGGCAGGAATTACAGCAACCCCACCCTCCTGGCTTTCTACCAGGTCCAGGTTGGAAGAATTGCTGAAAAGTGGTGTGAGACCTGACTGTCCCAGGGGCTGACTCCTAGAGACAGGAGACAGTAAGGACCTGGCAGATAATTTGTGCTCCCTCTCTGCCACAGGACTATTTTGAGCTGCAGGGTTCCATGTGGTCTCTCTGGAGAAGTCCTACCTGAAGAAGAAACCAGCTTTATTTTTTTTGTGAGTCTATGGCCAGCTCAGAAATCGACTATCTTAGATTTGTTTTTCTTCCTTTCTTGCCTCCCTTCAGGAACTGTGGAGATTGTTGATTATTTTAAATATTGTACCATTTACTTAGATGTGACACATCTATATGGTGGTTTAAACAGAACACCACAGGGAGCGATCAGATTGGTTATCAATAGTTATAATTTGAGGTAAGAGATTACTATGAAATTTTCAACCACTACATTGTACAATAATTGATATAAGTTTCTAATGAAACACTTGAACATACTTAGTGATACAAGTCAAACTTGATAATAAAGCTTTTGTAATTACTTTATTGAACATTCTGAACTTGGTAAAGGCACAAACAAAATGGTTTACTTTTGTCCAATTACTGCTATCAAATGTGTGCTGTTGAATCTCCGTGTATTGGTTTTCTACTGCTTTGTTACAAATGATCACAAGCTTATTGGCTCAAAATAACACTCATTTATTTTATCATGGTTTCTGTAGGTCGGAAGTCAGCCATGGCCCAACTGGGTTCTCTGCTTAGGGTCTTGTGCTCAAGGAATGGTATGCCTGTGCACTTACCTGGAGGATCTTGGAAGATCCCACATCCATGCTTATTCGGGCTGTTGGCAGGACAACCCTGTGGTTGTTGGATTGAGGTCCCAGCACCCTGGCTGTCACCTGGGGACTGCTGTCAGTTCCTTTCCAGATGCTCTCTCCCAGGTTTTCCCCAGGCCCTTACACAACATCAAAGCTTATGGCGGAATCCCTTACTTTGAATCCTCATCACCTTTAAATCTGAGTAAATCTGAGTTTAAATCTATTGAGTATAGAGACACCATTCAAATCCATCTACATGCTGCAATATTCTCTTGACCCACGAGAAACTTGTGCCAACCAGTGGGAGAGTAGACAGTTCAAAGGCTCCCCATTGTTTTGGGGTTTTCTTCTCCTGATGCTAAAATAGATATTGAAGCCCCATCAATGAGTCCACTGCATAAACAGATTTCCTCCTGCGATATGAGATGCCAATCCACTCTTTTGTACTTAGTACCCCCAGTCTCTGTAAATGAGTCTGTTATTGGATTCTATAGGTGGGTGAATGGATGAAGGAGTGCCTCTGTGTTAGTCCAGTGTTGCAGGGAGTATGGCCAGAGTCGCAAAAGAGAAGTCCACAAACAAAGTGCAGTTAAGTGAAGGTCCTCGGACTCGAGTCAGAATGAGGCCCCGACTCCAGAATGAAGCTTCTTTTTATTAGGATAATTGCTAAAGACTATGTGCATAAAGTCAGCTAAGCAAGTGTGTTAATCAATCTAATGGTTTAGCTTTTCAAGGTTGAATTTTGAGTTAATTGGTTTCTATACCACTAGGAAGGGTCAGGTGTGAAGGAGGATCCGGCCCTGGACAATGTTAATGGCTCTAGGCATTCCTTTCGAGCAGCAGCCGCCTTCAGCCGTGTAAACATGTCCTAAGGCCTTGCACCTTCTCCAGCTCTTCCCTTTTGAAGTCTTTTCCTTTGATGCTTCTCTCCTGCATCTCCCACAGTCCAGGTCCTCAGAGAAGCAGATGCCAAGATGCGATGAGATGTGCGAGGGATTTATTGGGGGGAAATGCTTATAAGAGGAAAGGGGTGGGAGCGGGAGAAGGCTGAGAGAGCCACCAGATTGTCGTGCTGGTCTGACCCCTGTGGAGGAGATAGGGCAGAAAGGAAGGAAGGTCTTAGGCTTCAGTGCAGTTGTAAGAAAATTCCATCAAGGCTCTCAGGAGTGGGTCTGCCTTATCATCCTTGCCTCACTCAGTCATTGGTCTGGGAGCAGCTAATGACAAGCCTGATCTTGGCTCCAATGTGATGGTGGATTCCAGTGTGCTGTAGCTGGGGCTATTGCTTATGCTCCATGCATTAGGAAATCTGAGTGGTGCATTTTCCCAGCCTCAGCAACTGCCACCTACAGTGCTCTTCCTTAGGCCAGACCAATGAATCACGATTACAAAGGTACTTCTGAGGTCCTCTGCATCCCCCAGCTGTCTGCATGTATACGCTGGAGAGAGGGGATCAGACAAGGGTGGCTGAGCCAGGTCAGTCTTGTCTCATAAGAGGCTGCCCCCTCCCCTCACTTTATGTTTTTCTTTATGATGTGCCATCTTTATGGTTCACTCACTTTGGGTTTGGTAGCCCATTTTAGGAGCAACATGAAGTTACCCTCATGTTATTACATCTTCCAATAAAAGACCAAATAGAAGGAAGCCCCTGATTCACTTCTTACGTGGTTTTGTTATCCTGAATGAGAAGGGTGTTTCTTCTTTCTTTCATTCTTATTTCTCTCATTCTTTCTTTCTTTCAAAATATCTTTCCTGTATAAAAGAGATTTCTTTTCTTTAAAGAAAAATAGGAAAATGCCAAAAAGTAGAAAGCGAAAAATTATACAGTGACCTATAATCCTAAGCTAACAAAAATTCATATTGTAATAGTTTAAGTATTTTATTTTGGCTTCCCCCTCCCCCATACAGTTTTGTGATCCACTCCTCCCTCTCCCCATTTAAAAACTTTTAAATTTTCTCAAAAAATAACTTTTTGGTGATTATCAAAGTCATACTGGTTTGATGTGGGAAATTTGGTAACACGAACTTTGATTCCACAGTCAACTGGTATCCACTAGCAATGTTGTATTTCCTCCTAAAATATACGTATAAACTAACCCACAGTAATTCTACTTATGTGATTTTGCACCCTTTCTTTTCAATTATCATATCACGAGTGTGTTTGCATAATACGGACTAATCTGAAAGGTACAATTTAAATAATAGCATAATTTTCTGTAGTATCGATTGTTCCATAGTAGACTTAGATGTCTAATTTTTCACCATTGTAAATAATTCTGTGGCATTCATATTTCTCCACCATTTTTATTATTATCTTAGGATTGTTGCTTGGAAGTAGGGTTACTAAGTCAAAGGTAATGCTTATTTTGAAGGGCTTTGTTGAGTATGTTGCCAAATTGCTTTCCAGAAATGTACCAGTTTACACTTTTATCACAGTGAAGGAGGCAATTTTTTCTTCTTAAATTCCCCCTTCTTATCTTGATCTCAACTTCCTGGTAGTTTCTTTCAGGTATTTCACTTCCTTTATTAGTTGTGAGGACGTTCGCACTAGGGTGAAGGAGATGGTTTTCAGGTAGAAGGGATTTAGCTTCTCTTACCATCCTTTTAGCATCACATCCAACAATTGCCTTTGGTATTTGTGTAATTTAATTTTTCCCTGAATTTAGAAGCTACCAAGAAGTACTTCAATTTTCCTTTGCATCTGTGAAATAGAGAGACTTGAATACACCCATGTCTGGCTTGCTCTCATCATAGGAGGTTTTTCAGATTTTGTTACTTTTAATTTTTTTGCTTTCTTAGAAGAAATCTTTTCTATCTGGTTCTGTATAGATAGCCTCCGGCTACTTTGTTCCAGCAACTGACTTCTTTAGAGATTGGTTCTGACACAGAATTTAAAGTGACAGTAGCTTTTTTTAACACAGTAGATAATTGAACACAGAATTGACTTTATTACGTTTGTAGTTGCAAAATGTCTGGCTAGGCTTAAAGGTTTAGGCTCTTGCTACAGAATAGAATTCTCTCCTGTGAGAAACTGGCTCATGTATTGCCCAAGCTTTGGCTTCACTGGCATTTGTTCTAACCAACAGAAAGCACTAGCTTTGCTTGGAAAAGACTTAGGGACACATTCATGGTTTTCTGGGGGATTGGGTCCTGTACTTGGGCTTTACAGACTGGGGTGAATCATGGTAAGGGTGACAGTGGAAAATCTTGTGAGTAGGAGGCAGACTTAAGTGTAGTCATCTGATTCAACCTCCACTGAAGTCTCATGCCCGCCACGGTGCTCCACATTGTCTGGGTCACGTAACCAGACTCTTGATTCAGGACCCAACTTCTCTGCGATGTCAAAGTTCTTTTGTTTTTCCATAGGCCTTTCTGTGTCTCCACAAGGCATGGGGAAAACCAGTCTGTTGGAGATTTTAATCTCAGGTTGCTATAGTCTCATACCTGAAGCAGCAAATGCATTGCACTGCATTATAATTAGCTGAGTAACGCTTCATTCTTTGTAACTGATGCCACAGAGCTCATTT